ATATGTGAGAATTGGCTTTTGATTTTGGCTTTTCAGTAATAATAGGGTGGCATGTATACTACTCTGTACATGTTAAAAGGCTATTTTCTTTTTATTAGCACACTTTCCTCCTGAAAACAGCTTATCTAGGATTTCCTAGGGTAGCCACTAAGACATCACCAAAAAGGACATGCATCATCTGTGGTCATTTTAAATAAAAATAGCATAGCATCAAGTCAATTCTGACTTCTATGAGACTATTTCCAGGGTTTTCCAGGTAGGAAGTACTCAAAAAAATGGTTCACCATTCCCTTATTCTGGGGGCTCCCTGGGACTGTGCAGTTGTCCCAAGGCCACACAGGCTGGCTCTTCTGGATGCATAGTGGAGAACTGAACCCTCAGCCTCTCGCTCTGCAGCCAGACACCTGACTCACTCACTTACCCAGATTCGTTTGGTCAGTCTGTCACAAAGTAAAGAGGGGATTCCTTTCTCCATACCCTCTTGCTCTTAAATAGAATCAACCTGGAGAGCAAGACTTTACTGGGCAGGAAATGTGCGTCCTGACAGCTGCTCAGGCAAAATGGCTGCTGCATGCATTCACTCTGAATTGCAACTGTAGGGCTGACCCTACAGTTATTAGGAAGAGTGTGGCAGCTACCCACAGGCAGAAAGTTTGGACTACAGTATCATAAAAGGACATTAAACTGACAGCTACATTAAGTAAGTGCTTGTTATTTTTACTACTAGTTACAGGGGAGATGCCTGCAGGATTTTCTGTTTCTAAATGAGGGAATAGATTGGCTGGATGGGTTATACCTTGACAAGAGAAAGGGGGCACAATTTGCTCGACTGTCTTGGGATGACCCTATGGTGAAACCATACACCACAGCCTACAAGTCCTGAAGCTCAGCACGGCCTGATATGGCAGTTCTCTAGGGACGTTCTCAACTTCCTGTTTGGGCTGCTCACCTGAGGTTGCAGAAAGGCAGAAAGTGTGTGCCAATGACAATAACCACCAATGTTTGTTGAGACACTTTTTCCAAAGAAACCGAACAAAGATTGGAGAAAGTAGAAGAAAAAGATTGGAGAAATAAAAAAAGAGATCAGAACAAAGAGCTCAAGAGGAAACCACAGAGACAGAATAACAACCCTTTCATTCATACCCTAACATAATGAAGCCTGTGTAATCAGTAAAAATATATATTTTCCTCCTGTTTATCCTTCTTTCATCTTCTTCCTCCATCCTCTGCTCTCTCTCTTCTGCCAAATACACAAATGTAAACTGGGGGGGGAGAGAGCAATGTCCTCTTCTACTTTGTTAAATGCTAAACACTTGCTGACACAACGTAAAAGTAAAAAAAAACCAGAAGCTGAACAAGCTGGCTCAAATCCTATTACTCAGTGTGGTAAGTGGCACTAGAGTAGGGCCATTGAATCAGTGGGGATTTGGAACATCAACTGCTCCATAAATTCCATTGATTTTAATAGACTTACTCTAGCTGCAACTTACTTTAGCATAATCAGTCACAACTAGAGTAGACCTATTTGACTAGAGCAGTTAACTCAACAAATCACAGATTCAGTGGGTCTATTCTAGTATGACTTAGTAAACAACAGGATTCCAGCCACTATCACAAAAAAAAGTAGAGTTGGATGCTTCGTGCTTTGTACAAATCACAATGCACCCTACCCCGATCCAACCGAGCCCCTCTGCGTCCTGCTGGAGTCCTTCTGTAGCAGCGGTGCTCCACTCTGGGCAAGAGCCCAGTGAGCCCTTCCCCACCTCCCAAGGCAGCTGACTACTCGGAGGCTGAACAAATATACTCCCTATCCTGCCTCCTAGCCGGAGTGGTTAGCTGCCTGGGGAGGTGGGGAAAGGCCACCCGGGCTCCTGCCCGATTGGAGTGCCACTGCTGCACAAGGACCCCAGAGGTGTGTGGAGGCCAGTAAGTGGCCCAGCCAGTCTAGGGGGTGGGGAATGAGGCTCCCCCACACCTAGGGGTGCTATGTTTCATGCTTCCTATGAAGCACAAAGTGCTCATCTCTAATAAAAAGATATACAAATGACAGGATTCCAGCTACAGTACTACTATATAAAATGAGTTTTAGGACTCATTCTTTGGATTGTGGTTAAAGGGAGTACTAAACTATAGGGTCTTAAACTATGCAAGCATCTTACACCTGAGTGGATAGCTCAGTGAGTTGGAGGGCTGGAAATTTGATTCCCTATTTTACTTCTTGGGGGGGGGGAGCACAACAGGGAATCAAATTAATATTTTTTGGAATACAAATAACTATCCGTTTAAAATGAAGTTAAGCAGTAACAATCTGTATGCTTAGCTCCACCTGTAGACCCCACCAATATAGAGGACAAAAAGAGATAGCATACAAAAATCCCACATCAAAAATTCTAGAAAAGTTGAGAGACAATAATACATGCTTCCATACATACAGCCATCTGTAAAAAACAATATCCATTTTAGAAAATAAATGCATGATACAAACCCAAGCTATACACGAAATACTTCTTCAAAAACAGTTGTGACAGCAAATGTTCATCAGTACTTGCTTGTCCAAAGATATATCAAAAATTACGAATGAGTAGGAAAATATAAATCCAATAAACCACACTGAAGTCAGGATGCCATTCATACTTTGCATCAACACCATTTCATTGTAATGGATTGTGGGCGCATAAAACGCCTTTAAATGTCACTGCCATTAAATGGCCTAACGAAGTGCTATATTGAGTACTGTGATTTATGAACATTTTATTGTGTAATTGAAAACACAATTCCCAGCTATTAAACAATCATCACTGTCTTCACTATTCCTCACTAACTCTAACACAGAGGGCTCCTAACAAGACATAAGTGAAAATATCACGGGTTTTTTTCAGTCAAAGGTGGCATTTTTAAAAAAACTTGTTGGCAGTTGTCTTTCTCAGGATTTACACTGTGCAGGTCTTTTGTGCAAACCAGCTGTGGCTGCCCAAGTTCTTGAGTCCTTCTCAACTTTATAACATAGCCATGAAGTCTATTTCAAATTTTAATTTTTTCACAAGTGTCGCAAATACAATTTGTTACTTCTAGTTTAGCTTTTCTATTTTTAACCATTGTGTGGAGCCTGAAGTTGGGAGTTCGATTCCCCACCGTGCCTCCTTGACAGGGGCCGGACTTGATGATCCATAGACTTTCTTCTAGCTCCGCAGTTCTAAAATGATGATGATGAAGTGACAGTGATTTCTATTAATACTATTAAGGCTTTATGCTTTAAATAATTAGCAAAATGTTATCATTAAAAGCCTTTAGCAAGTTTAGGGCGATCTTGATCACAGCAGTTACAAGGAATCTAACAGTTTGTTCAACATCATCATCAACAACAAAAGCAACTAGAAAATCTTCAGTCTTTCTGGGATTTCCGGTACAAAAAAGGCATGTTTCTCCCCTTTGATTTTCATAAGTATAAACACAATCTCTCTGGTTCTAGCTAATCTGTCAAAATTCTCCTTGTGCAGGATGGTTCACATTAAATCTTAATTTCTTTCATTATCAAGCTAACCTGGAATTAAATATTTGAAAAAAGAGGACAGGAGGAGCCGAGCAGAAGGTCCCAGGCAGATATTTGGAAGCCTTAATTCCTGGAGGACGAAATGTTTAGAGCTGCATGCTTGAACTGGCAAGCCAAAATGGGCCCATACCTTACAGAAAAAATGTTAAAAAGCCACATCAACCTTCCAACATTAAAGCCACAGACAAACAAATGAAAAGGGTGAACTGGCACTTTTAACTAAGCTCATCCTTCTGCATCCCAAGAGCCATTCCATCGCCACCGCCTGTGTGCATGCCCGAAATAAAAGTACCTCGATTGCAGAGAGTTGTTCTCGGCAAAGATTCACTTTCAGGCATCAGCCTCAAACCCTTCAGGGAAGAGGTGGAGAGAAGGCTTTAAAAAAAAACCCGAAAGGAACAAAAGCTCCCTGCCCGTCCCGGCGGTGCAGGAACGGTGACCGTCGAGCAGGAGGAGAGGCGACAATACAAACCGCTCAATGAATCCAGAAAGTCTTTACTTAAAAAAAAAAGAAGACACATCAAAATGGCGGAATTCTGTCTCTCTTTTTATTCTGTTGAACAAACAGATGCTCCCATTATTGGAAGAAGGGAAGACATGAACATGACCCGAAGGAGAAAGTTTGCGAAAACGAACCCTAGTCCTTTCCCCGCCTCTTTTGCGAGATCATCGCACGCATCTCCCGGTACCCTCACGCTTTTTTCTCCCCCCTGCATCGCTTCCTTCCAACTCTTTTATGTCATCTGTTTATGGGAAGGGGAGGAAGGGGTGGGGGTCTTCCAATTGCCCGCGCTGGAACATGGAAACTGCGAGAGGAATATATAATAAAAAGAGCCTCAGGAA